GGAAGGGGAGGGTGAAGAGAAAGGGGAGGGTGAAGAGGAAGGGGAGGGTGAAGAGGAAGGGGAGGGTGAAGAGGAAGGGGAGGGTGAAGAGGAAGGGGAGGGTGAAGAGGAAGGGGAGAGAGGGGCTCGCGCTCTGTGAGTAGCGACTGGTAGCTGTCTCCACCGCTAGTAGCAGCAACAGCAGCAGCAGTGGCAGTAGCAGCAACAGCAGCAGCAGTGGCAGTAGCAGCAACAGCAGCAGCAGCAACAGCAACAGCAGCAGCAACAGCAACAACAACAGCAGCAGCAACAGCAACAGCAGCAGCAGCAGCAGTAGCAGCAGTAGCTACAGTAGCAGCAGTAGTAGCAGTAACAGCAGTAGCAGCACCACCACCACCAGCAGCATCAGCAGTAGCAGCAGCAGCACCGCCACCACCAGCAGCAGCAGCATCAGCAGCAGCAGCAATAGCAGTAGCAGCACTTCGATTAGAAAAAGAAACCCCAGGTTACCGAGGTTACATGGGCAAGCGGAGGGGGCGGTGAACAGCGCATGCGCAGATCAATCCACGTCAATCGACCCACGTAGTGATTCTATGTATAATTGACGGATTTCTCGAACTATTCGTATTTCTGGAATGAATAGAGACGATGAAATATTATTCACAATTTTCTCTCTCGCAGCGACGTCGGAACCACTCCATCGTCATCGTCATCGTCATCGTCGTCGTCGCCGTCGCCGTCACGTGACGTCGTCGACAGTGGCTTCAACGCGCGGGCCGAGAGCTGGTCGACTACATCCGAATTTTTCCGGGTGAGTATTTTTTGTTACATTTTTTGTTACGTTTTATCATTTGCAGATGCGGCCTTCAATCGACGGGGAAAGTTTTCCTAATATGGCCAATGGGTGCAAGAGTTTTCTTATATATGTACCTAAACATGGGAGTTATTATACTTTAGGTTATGGTTAGGGTTAGAGTTAGGGTTATTGTTAGGGTTAGGGTTAGGGTTAGGGTTNTGGGGTTAGGCCTAGGGTTAGGGTTAGGGTTAGGCCCAGGGTTAGGGTTGGGGTTAGGGTTAGGGTTAGGGTTAGGGTTATGGTTAGGGTTAGGGTTACGCCCAGGGTTAACTTTGGGATTAGGGTTAAGGTTGGGTCCATGGTTAGGGTTGGGGTTAGGGTTAGGGTTAGACTCAGGGTTAGGGTTGGGGTTAGGGTTAGGGTTAGACCCAGGGTTAGGGTTGGATTTAGGGTTAGAATCGGAGTGATATTAGGGTTATGGCTAGGATCAGAGTCGGTGTGGTGTAGGGTTAGGGTTATTGTGGGTATAAGCTAGAGTTAACGATTAATGCTATCACTAGAATTGTGCTTAAAAGAAGCACATTCCGACAGTAGACAGTGAGACAGACCCGTTCAGCCTTTAATATTATGCCAAAATCTATCTACATACTTGTTATATATATACTTATACATGTGATATAGATAATTAATATTATGAATATGGTATACTGGTACAGCATGTATTGTATGCACATATGTTTACTGCTAGTAGCCTACTTTTAATACATGTATTTAAGAATTCACGAGTTCACTATACGAGATAAGTTCATGATAACGCGATCCGAATTCTATAGTGTAGTGAGGCGTAATTTGTGTCAGATCCTAGCAGCACTGTATTAATCGATAAATTTCCTTCTTTATTTAGTTAATCGCGTGCGCACTGCAGCTGTACATATCAGCATGTCCGTAGCTGACTAAATAAATGTGACAAATAATAACGCGATAACACGTCGGGGAGACGGCGCCGCACAGTGACGGAGATGTTCTATTGTCAACGCACCGATGCACGACGGTAGCGATAGCCGGTGATTGCTCTCTCCACCGCTATCTCGCGAGCTAGGAGCCCGTCGGCCATGTTAACACAGACAGAGAGATAGAGAGATATAGAAATACAGACAGCGAGAGAGAAAGAGAGAGAGAGAGAGAGAGAGAGAGAGAGAGAGAGAGAGAGAGAGAGAGAGAGAGAGAGAGAGAGAGAGA